CAGATCCATCATTGTTTGAGTCCAGTGTTCTCTGGATGGAGGTGAACTACAATTCCAAAATTCAAGGTCAATACCCACCAAACCCTTTCAGTATTTTCTGTTGGTCAGAAGGAAATATAAAAGTAAATTATTATTATTATTATTATTATTATTATTATTATTATTCAGTGCGCAGATCGGAGGCAGACATTTATGGAAAACTAAAGGGTTATATCGGCCCCAAAGCAGACTTTTGGGAGGCACAATCCGCCACCATTTACATTGCAAAGAAAGAACCTAGAAGAAACCAGAAAAGGAAGCAACCAGGCAAACTATAAATCTCAGGAACCTCATTTGAAGTGGTACAAAGATCTATTTTCAGAGCCCCAGTGGCGCAGTGTGCCAGCAGAACTGAAGACCGACAGGTTGCAGGTTCGAATCCAGGGAGAGGCAGATGAGCTCCCTCTGTCAGCTCCAGCTCATCATGCAGGGACATGAGAGAAGCCTCCCACAAGGATGATAAAAACATCAAATCATCCAGGCGTCCCCTGGGCAACGTCCTTGCAGACGGCCAATTCTCTCACACCAGAAGCGACTTGCAGTTTCTCAAGTCGCTCCTGACACAACAAAAAAAGAGAGCTACAAATGCCTAGAAAACAAGGCAGACAGAGGCCCATGGCAGACAGAGGCCCAACCTCTAACAATAAAACAAAAATCCAGTTCTCCTTTGTGCCCCAGACGGTGCAACGGAGACTTGGATGGGAACATTAAACCACATGTCTTCATCAGCAAATATTCTGAGCCAACAGGTTTGCAAAACAAGCAGCATTCTCGAACTGTTTTACCCACAAACGGTGAGTCATTTAACCTCCAAAAGTCTAGCAAAGGGATGCGGGGAAAGAAGAGAGGCTGGATCTACACTGCAGAATTAATGCCATTTGACACCACTTGAATTGTCATGGTGCATGGATCCATTTCCATTGGTTAGGGTACGAATGACACTGTGAACCACCGCCTCCTCCTGAGAAAAATGTATAATATCACAAAGGACTACTGTCTCACCTGCCTCATAGGAAACCTGCTACAAAACAGGAGCTTTTTTGTTGAGTTCCAGGGCCAGAGAAGCAGATGGCGGAAACAGAAGAATGGCCTGCCTCAGGGGAGCGTGCTTCCTCCATTCATGTTCAACATCTACACAAATGACCAGCCACTGCCAGAAGGGACAGAGAGTTTCATCTATGCTGATGATCGTGCCATTACTGCTCAAGCAGGGAGCTTTGAGATGGTAGAACAGAAGCTTTCCGAAGCTCTAGGTGCTCTTACTGCCTATTACAGGGAAAACCAGCTGATCCCCAACCCATCTAAAACACAGACATGTGCCTTTCATCTCAAGAACAGAGAAGCATCCCGAGCTCTGAAGATCACCTGGGAAGGAATCCCACTGGAGCATTGCAGCACCCAATACCTGGGAGTCACTCTGGATCGTGCTCTTACCTACAAGAAGCACTGCTTGAACATCAAGCAAAAAGTGGGTGCTAGAAATAAATATCATACGAAAGCTGACTGGCACAACCTGGGGATCACAACCAGACACAGTGAAGACATCTGCCCTTGCGCTATGCTACTCTGCTGCTGAGTATGCATGCCCAGTGTGGAACACATCTCACCACGCGAAAACAGTGGATGTGGCTCTTAATGAGACATGCCGCATTATCACGGGGTGTCTGCACCCTACACCACTGGAGAAATTACACTGCTTAGCCGGTATTGCACCACCTGACATTCACCGGGAAGTAGCAGCCAACAGTGAAAGGACCAAGGCAGAGACATCTCCAGCCCATCCCTTGTTTGGGTATCAGCCAGCACGTCAACGACTTAAATCAAGAAATAGTTTTCTAAGATCTACAGAGACACTCGCTGGAACACCTCAGCAAGCGAGAGTCCAAAAGTGGCAGGCTCAAACCCAGAACCTCAATCAATGGCTGATACCAAATGAGAGACTCCCCCCTGGGCACACAGAGACTGGGCGACTTGGAAGGCGCTGAACAGACTGCGCTCTGGCACCACGAGATGCAGAGCCAACCTCAAGAAATGGGGCCACAAAGTAGAATCCACGACATGCGAGTGCGGAGAAGAGCAAACCACTGACCACATGCTGCAATGCAACCTGAGCCCTGCCACATGCACAATGGAGGACCTCCTTGAGGCAACACCAGAGGCACTCCAAGTGGCCAGATACTGGTCAAAGGACATTTAATCAACTACCAAACTCACACATTTTGTAGTTTATGATGAACAACTGCACTGCATCCTGTCAGATTCCCAAAATTTGGAGGAAAGCAAGAATCATCACATCTTGAAGCCAGGCAAAGACCGTAATGACCCAAAAACCTATAGACCAATCTCTCTGTAGTGCCACCTCTACAAAGTTCTGGAGAGACTTATTTTGCATGCACAATGGAGGACCTCCTTGCGGCAACACCAGAGGCACTCCAAGTGGCCGGGTAGTGGTCAAAGGACATTTATTCAACTACCAAGCTTGCAAACTCTGTTTTGTCTGTTAAAAAATTGTTTAAAATGTAATACAATTGTCTGGTTGATACTGCATCAACTCTACAGTGTAGATGCACCCATTAAGCCCCCATAAAAGAAACAGAGAGGTATTTTTTCTTAAGGGTTCGCCAAACTCACCGTCAAACTTGTTGTACCGGGAGCTGAAAACGGCTTGCAAATTGTTGCTGAGCTCGACAACGGCGTTGCGGAAGTCGTGTTTACTCTGCTGGCCATATTTCTCTTCCATTTCTTGGGAGCAGCATGTATAGCCTTGAGGGCAGACTTTCAAGTGATCGCCTGGAAACACATCAAAGAGGAGATGTTAATACGCCGGAACACGGGACACCGTGCCGTTTGCAAAGGTGCGGCAAGATTAATGGGAGGCTGGGACTTATGAGCATTCATGGATGCAAACAAGTTAGTGTAAATGCATGCACGCAAATGCAGCCTCACACAGACATACTAGTCTGTGCTTGCATGCATATATCTGCACGAGGCTCTATTTGCATGCACGCATTTACATAAGAGCCTCTTTGCATCCATGCGTTTACTACAATTCAGGATCAGGTTTAATAATTACAGTAAAACCCCTTTCTCCATGAGCAAATAATAATAATAATAATAGGAATAATAATAATAATAATAATAGCCCCTTCTCCATCTATATAAATAAAAATGTAATGTTCATTTGTGGGATTAACAGAACTCAAAAACCACTGGGGGAATTGACACTAAATTTGGACACAAGACACCTAACAACCCAATGTATGTCCTTCACTCAAAAAAATTGATTTTGTCATTTGGGAGTTGTAGTTGCTGGGATTTATAGTTCACCTACAATCAAAGAGCATTCTGAACCCCACCAACGATGGAATTGAACCAAACTTGGCACAGAGAACTCGCATGACCAACAGAAAATACTGGATTTGGTGGGCAGTGTCCTTTGGTTTTGGAGTTGTAGTTCACCTACATCCAGAGGTCACTGTGGACTCAAACCTCAAAACAAACAATGACTGCTTCTAATATTTATCATTGCAAAAGACCTAACCCAGGCATTGCCTGGTACATAAGCTAATAAGTAATAAATCTGACATTTGGAAGAGTATAAATAAACGAGTTTCATGAGACACTTTACATCCCGAGACTTTTCACTTTCGCAACTGAATGTCTAGGTCCGTGACTCATACCATTTATTTATTATTTACTTTATTTGTATACCGCTGTTCTCAGCCCTTAGGCGACTCACAGCGGTTAACAACAATAGCAGCAAAAATTCAATGCTAACAACAACAGGATATTTAAAAACAATTAACACAATAACAGATTAAGCAATTAACACAATAACCATTCACTGGCGTCTCATAACTGAAAACATGATCCAAACTTGTCACCCATTGTTCCGTTCCTATATTCATTGCACTGCCTATTCAAATGCCTGTTCAAATAACCAGGTTTTCACTTTTCTCCGAAATACCATTAATGATGGAGCCGATCTGATGTCTGTGGGGAGGGCGTTCCACAGCCGAGGGGCCACCACCGAGAAGGCCCTGTCTCTCGTCCCCGCCAACCGTGCCTGTGTTGCAGGCGGGATCGAGAGCAGGGCCTCCCCGGAAGATCTCAAAGTCCTAGTGGGTTCGTAGGCAGAGATGCGATCGGATAGGTAACTTGGGCCGGAACCGTTTAGGGCTTTATAGGCCAACGCCAGCACTTTGAATTGTGCCCGGTAGCAAATTGGCAGCCAGTGGAGCTGGCGCAACAGAGGGGTTGTATGCTCCCTGCGTGCCGCTCCTGTTAGTATCATGGCTGCCGAACGTTGGACTAATTGAAGCTTCCGAGCCGTCTTCAAAGGCAACCCCACGTAGAGAGCATTGCAGTAGTCTAATCGGGATGTAACCAGAGCGTGGACTACCGTGGCCAAGTCAGACTTCCCAAGGTACGGGCGCAGCTGGCGCACAAGTTTTAGCTTGTGCGCCAGCTTTTACAAGCTTTTACAAGGGGTGAGTTTGCCCTTAAAACCGAACGACTGTGTCGCGAAACAGTGCAGGTCAGATAACGCTGTGTCGCCAACACAAAAAGTTTGGAAAACTGATCTAGAGGAGGGTAATAAGATTCGGAGCCAAACGCACTTTAGCAGGCGGCGAACCCGCTCTGGCTTTTAGTCCAAAGTCTCAAAGCACGAACAAGTAAATTCCACAACTTGGGAAAATCCCTTTCAAAATTTTACACAACAAAGGGAGGTAAAGGGAGATGCGGGCACCTCGGCGGAGCATGCACAGAGTGCAAACGGACTAGTCTGTTGGCCAGACAGCTGTGACTCCAATAGACGGGACAGGTCACGACCTTTGGCCCCAAGGCCGCTGTCCATCCTTCCTTCCTTCCTGCCTTCTTCCCTTTTGGGACTGCAATCCATCAAATGCGTTTGGACCCTCCTCCTCCTCCTCCGTTGACGACTTCCTCCCAAACCGGCGACATAAAGGAGCCCCGGCTAATCCGATTTCACACTAGACTTGCAGCTTCCTTATCAAGAGATATTAGGGCTTGCCTTATTATTGCTAATTAACGTCTTGTACTAAAGGAAAAGGGGGCCCGTTAGAGGGGAGCAAAAGAAAGGGGGCAGTTTGAAAGACCCTGAGCCACAAGGCGGGTCAGGTGAATTCAGTTCAGAAAACCTAGAGCTTGGTATGGCACATGGATACGTTTCCATTGGAATTGGCCCCATTTATAGAAGCAATATCTAATTAGGGTGCATCAGGCATGGGTAATACCTAATTAGGGTGCATCAGGCATGGGCAAACTTCGGCCCTCCGGGTGTTTTGGACTTCAACTCCCACAATTCCTAACAGCCAATAGTTGGAGTCCAAAAACACTCGGAGGTCCGAAGTATGCCCATGCCTGATCAACATTATCATCATCATCATTTTATTAATGTATCATTATTAAATTATTATTATTATTATTATTATTATTATTATTATTATTCTCTCAAACCAGAAGCGACTTGCAGTTTCTCAAGTCTCTCCTGACACGGCCAAAAAAAAATAGCTATTATTTACTATGTTTCAGTATTACAATATTATCATTATTACTATTATTATTTACTATATATTACATCAATAGGCACAGCTCCAGCGGGAAGGTAACTGCGCTCCATGCAGTCATGCCAGCCACATGACCTTGGAGGTGTCTACGGACAACGCTGGCTCTTCAGCTTAGAAATGGAGATGAGCCACCACACCCCAGAGTCAGACATGACTGGACTTAATGTCAGGGGACTACCTTTACCTACCTTTACCCTAACATGCTTTTCATCTCAAGAACAGACAAGCATCCCGAGCTCTGAGGATGACCTGGGAAGGAATCCCACTGGAGCATTGCAGCACACCCAAATACCTGGGAGTCACTCTGGACCGTGCTCTGACCTACAAGAAGCACTGCTGAATATCAAGCAAAAAGTGGGTGCTAGAAACAATATCATACGAAAGCTGACTGGCACAACCTGGGGATCACAACCAGACACAGTGAAGACATCTGCCCTTGCGCTGTGCTACTCTGCTGCTGAGTACGCATGCCCAGTGTGGAACACATCTCACCACACTAAAACAGTGGATGTGGCTCTTAATGAGACATGCCACATTATCACGGGGTGTGTGCGCCCTACACCACTGGAGAAATTACACTGCTTAGCCGGTATTGCACCACCTGACATCCACCGGGAAGTAGCAGCCAATAGTGAAAGGACCAAGGTAGAGACATCTCCAGCTCATCCCCTGTTTGGGTATCAGCCAGCACGTCAACGACTTAAATCTAGAAATAGTTTTCTAAGATCTACAGAGACACTCGCTGGAACACCTCAGCAAGCGAGAGTCCAAAAGTGGCAGGCTCAAACCCAGCACCTCAATCCAATGGCTGATACCAAATGAGAGACTCCCCCCTGGGCACACAGAAGACTGGGCGACTTGGAAGGCGCTGAACAGACTGCGCTCTGGCACCACGAGATGCAGAGCCAATCTTAAGAAATGGGGCCACAAAGTGGAATCCACGAAATGCGAGTGTGGAGAAGAGCAAACCACTGACCACCTGCTGCAATGCAACCTGAGCCCTGCCACATGCACAATGGAGGACCTTCTTGCAGCAACACCAGAAGCACTCCAAGTGGCCAGATACTGGTCAAAGGACATTTAATCAACTACCAAACTCACAAGTTTTGTATTTTGTCTGTTTGTTTGTTTGCTTTGTTCTGTTCTGACACGACAAATAAAAATAACCACAAATAAGATATGTGCAGTGTGCATAGGAATTCATTCATGTTTTTTTTCAAATTATAATCCGGCCCTCCAACAATTTGAGGGACTGTGACCTGGCCCTCTGTTTAAACAGTTTGAGGACCCCTGATATAGGTGATGTAATTGTGTTTTCATCTTATGCATATATCTTTTGGAATTATTATTATTATTATTATTATTATTATTATTATTTGGAATCAATGCAGTCGATTCACCAATTTGTGATTCAATGCCAAGGAATCATGGTAGGAATTACTATTATTATTATTATTATTATATTATTATATTATTATTATTATTATTATTATTAATGTAACTAAAAGTAGTAATATAATAATATAGTAATAGTAATACATAGTAAATAATAGTAATAATAATAATAATATAGTAATAGTAATACATAGTAAATAATAATAATAATAACAATAATAATAATAATATAGTAATTGCAATACCTAGTTAAGAATAATAATTATTATTATCATATTACTACTTTTAATTAATAATAATAATAATAATAATAATAATACTGTACTATCATCTCATAAAAAAAGCTGTCTTCCTCACATCCTCCCCAAATATTAAGCACAAACATGATTTGGTTCACAAAGGATGCATCTACACTGTAGAACTGATATAACTTGACACCACGTTAAGTGCCATTCAATGCTAGGGGGGATCCTGGGTGTTGTAGTTTTGCAAGGTCCAAACTACAAATCCCAATGCTATATTGTATTGAGCTGTGTCATCTGAAGTGGTATCAAACTGCATCCATTCTCCAGTGTAGATGCACCCAGAAAGGGCACCCAGGACTGTCAAACTACAATTCCCAGGATTGCAATGAGTTTTGCAAGGTCCAAACTACAAATCCCAAGGCTCCATCGAATTGAGCTGTGTCATCTGAAGTGGTATCAAACTACATCCATTCTCCAGTGTAGATGCACCCAGAAAGGGCACCCAGGACTGTCAAACTACAATTCCCAGGATTGCAATGAGTTTTGCAAGGTCCAAACT